GCGGTCAAAATGGCATCCATTTGACCACACCAGTTGGTGCGGTCTAGACCACGTTTGGTTTTTCAGTGAAGGCGTCGCAAGGCGCGAGCGAGCCCCTGCAGGCTCGAACAGTCCATCTTCGCTCTGTCTCTCTCGCACCGCTGCGCGCTTGCGGGACGATCCGCTAGTGCGAGAGAGACGGAGCGACCGTTTGGTGGAGCCCGTCGCGACGGAGGCGCTGCGCACTTTGTAACTGGAGCGGCGCGTGCAGTCGCGCCTATGCTGGCTAAGCTCGAGCTTCGGGCGTCTAAGTGTGCGAGTCGAGGCGCGGCTCCGCGGCACTCGGCTCGCATTTCACACGGTTTAGAATTAAGACGCTGCGCGCGCAGCTCAGCGCTAAACGGGCGCCGCATTAAAACCGAGGAGAAAAATAAATGTGTTGCTGCTCCTCTGCGCCGCTCCGCGCTGTCATGAGTGAGGTGGGTTGGGTGGGGGGTGTCCTCAACTCAGGTGCAGAATGCACGTTCCGGTCGGCTCGGTCCACGCGTGTTGTTAGGTGGCCGGCGTATGACGTAGAGACCACCCAGCCCGATGTGACGAGCGAAGTCCTCACGCCACAGGAACTACTGCGAAAAAAAAATTAATAAAATCTACAGTAGCAAAAAAAAAGTCCGACAAGAATCTGTCTGCGCCGTGTCCGGCGAGACACAGTGCGCAGTACAGTCAATTAAAACGTTGATAAATGTTCTGCGGCCGCGTCTAGTGTCGTGGGAAGTTTGCGAGTTGCAGGCAAGGCTCCTGGCGGAGCGTGCGGTAAAATCCTCCGTGAACTCTCGGACAATTTGTGGAGCAGAATCTCCGCGCCTTCTCTCTCCCACTTGGGTCGCTTGGTGATCTTTTCTCTCCTTTCCCCGCGCACGGTTCACCGACACCGCGAGCGGCCGGCGGGCCCGTCGCGCAATTAAAAGCAGCGCTTTTGCGAGTTACTGCCGTTTTTTCTCTTTTTTTTCCCCTCGTCACTCTCGGCGTACACGTCGTCTAGCGGGGCAATAAATAAGGAGCGTTCAGGTTGCTGTACCGTATGGTTAGTTTATTACGGCGGGGAAATGGCGGCCGGCTGGCGGGCGTGCCGCGGGCGTGCCTGCGGGTGTGGCGCGGGGCACTTTCGATGATGGACTTGCGCAGAGCACGCATGCCTAGCCTCGGCCGGCGAGCGCCGCGAGCACGCCCTGCCCTACACCTTCACGTTGCAGACACTCGTGACAAATCGTGCGGCTTGAACCATCAAATCACACCGGAGCGCTCACGTCGACGTCACTGCGGTGTCGCCTATCTCTCATGCCTCTCTCCACTAGGCTCTGTAGCAGCACGTTCACTGAAGTAGCTGCCCGTCCGGGGCCGTCCGAGGCGTTGCGCTGGAGGCGGTGGCCGTCGCCGCCCTTAGTAACGCCAGGCGGCGGGAACCGGGAGGAACCGTCGGCAACGCCGGGCCGTTCATTTGCGTGTCGCCGTGACGATGTTCGGGATGCGCTTGGGGCGGCCGAGCGCGACCAGCACACACTTTGTTCTCTGGCACGCAGCAGGGGGTGGAAACTCCTACGGCGCGGCTGAAGCCAAGCTCGGCGCGCCGCGCTACGCCACGCCACTGCCCAGCCGGCCGGACGGCGGGCGGAGACGGTCTGCCGCCGCGTCTTTTATTGCTCAGAAATCACTTAAAAATTGAATGTTATGAGATGCCATGATTTTTAAACAATGGATTAAGACCCAAGGAATCGCCCTGTCACATTCATTTTGCCCAAAACTTCCGTCATTTCGTACAGTTTGTCGAGAAAACTTGCGGCGGAGCACGAAAATCCAGACTGCAGTTCATATTTTATTTTTTATCGGGTATTTTGGTTGCTCTGACACGTATAGTGTAAGCGAGTCAAAGTTTCCTTGTACTTTCCTCTATCCAATGCGATACGCGGATGTTGAAAAAGACAATCTGCAAAGAAATGCACCGTCATAAAAGATGCGACGGCGAAATGACAGTTTTCGGCAACATTCATTTCCCGCTTGGATTATAATTTCATCTTTGAGGTTATCGAATAAAGACACCTCCTATGCCATGTCAAATTTTATGTAGATTCCAAATCTGTCCTCGGATTTGAAATCCGTTAAAGGATTGCTGAAATCGAAACGGATTAAGTTTGACTTGTAGAGGTTATGTGTACGTGAGCTCTACGGCTAACCTCTACAAGTCAAACTTAATCCGTTTCGATTTCAGCAATCCTTCAACGGATTTCAAATCCGAGGACAGATTTGGAATCTACATAAAATTTGACATGGCATAGGAGGTGTCTTTATTCGATAACCTCAAAGATGAAATTATAATCCAAGCGGGAAATGAATGTTGCCGAAAACTGTCATTTCGCCGTCGCATCTTTTATGACGGTGCATTTCTTTGCGGATTGTCTTTTTCAACATCCGCGTATCGCATTGGATAGAGGAAAGTACAAGGAAACTTTGACTCGCTTACACTATACGTGTCAGAGCAACCAAAATACCCGATAAAAAATAAAATATGAACTGCAGTCTGGATTTTCGTGCTCCGCCGCAAGTTTTCTCGACAAACTGTACGAAATGACGGAAGTTTTGGGCAAAATGAATGTGACAGGGCGATTCCTTGGGTCTTAATCCATTGTTTAAAAATCATGGCATCTCATAACATTCAATTTTTAAGTGATTTCTGAGCAATAAAAGACGCGGCGGCAGACCGTCTCCGCCCGCCGTCCGGCCGGCTGGGCAGTGGCGTGGCGTAGCGCGGCGCGCCGAGCTTGGCTTCAGCCGCGCCGTAGGAGTTTCCACCCCCTGCACGCAGCAGCGGAGCGCGGCGGCGCGGCCAGCGCGGGGCCGCGTGGCGGGGCGGGGCGGGGCGCTCAGTGACGTCAAACCGCCCCGCCCCGCCCCGCCCCGCCCCGCCCCGCCTCCTGTGGCGCGGAACGTGTCAGCAGCTCGTCCCTTAGCGAGCCGAGCCCACTGCGACGTACCCACCGTCGTCCCGGAGCGTGCCGAGTGCGGGACGACGACGCGGACGACGCGGACGACGCGGACGGCCTACCTGATGGTACCCGAGCGGTACCGCCCAATTGGCTCACTCGTCTGCCGGCCAGTGAATATCAAAGAGCACTTGCCAATTTGTGTGGATGTCCGCCTTGGTTTGGGGGCCGCCTTGCCCAGTCTTGCCGCCTAGTTGGTCGGAGGGGTGACAAAGGTGCAGAAACCGTGGTTTGGGCTGACTCTCACGACGGGGCAGACTTCTTTGATGCCTCCTTTCACATTGCCTCTGCCCGCGGATCGCGACCCGCGTCGCGGTTTGATTAATTGTCATTGTGCTGGCGGCGGTGGCGTCCAGGAGAGCGGTCGGTCCTCGCGTCCTCGCGGCCTCCGCGTCCGCGCGCGATGCTATCAGCAAAACAGCGGACGAGTTGGCATTTGCATAATCAAGCCATCGGCAAAGCCGCCGCGCGGGGCAAGCCAAGCAAGCCAGGTCTTGGTTTGTTTCTGTTTGTTTACCCCGAAACTCTCGGCCTTTTTGAGGGGGCGAACGCCGCGCCCGCCGCTGCTGTTGTGTTAATTAATTCCGTGTGGGTTTAATAAAAAGCCCGGCAGGTTGGCGGCGTCTCTCTCGCACTCGTGGGGCGTCGTGTATTCCCGTATGGGTGCGAGAGAGACAGCCTGACGAGACCGCCCGCTCGGAACGGGCCAGCTGTACACGCGGAGTGCGGAGGACCCCCCAAATCCATAAGTCTGCGGCCAACTGGCGCGGCCAATCAGCGCGGCGGCGGCTGCGGCTCTACCCCACGCTCCAGCCAGGGCTGGCCAGGGCCACACGCCGCGCCCGGGGTATCGACGGCGTCCTGACCTTCACCTTAATTCAATATGGAGCAAAGTGAATGAGTGGAGTGCAGCAGCAGTGGGCCAGACCGCCAGGACGCGGCGGCCGACGACTGGCGGTCTGATCCGCCCCGGGCCCAGGCCCAGGCCCAGACCCATGCCCAGGCCCCGCCGCGTGCAGGGGCACCGAGGGGTTACCCACTCCGGGAATCATGTGTACACTCAGTCCGGGAATCATTACTAAATCTTTCAAAATTTGATGGAAAATCCTCAAAGTTTCAATTTAAAGTCATGGTAACCATGTGATACACACAAAAACATTCAAATACAAAGAAAATTTTCGAAAGTTCTCTCTTTTTCTCAGAGATATGTTCTGGGAATCGCGGGAATCCGGAATCGTGTGTACACTAAAGCAACGAGTGGGTAACCCCTCGAGGGGCACCCACTCCAACAGCTCCTCCACACGCTGCAATCAGCGCGGAGCGACGAGCGAGGCACTCGGCCTTTCGGACGCACTCCGCGGGCCTGAGCCGGCCGGGACAACCGTAAATAGACGGTAACAGCGCCCACTGGCCACCGCCAGCCCCACTGTAACGCGCGCACCATCAGTCAGCCCCGCTGGATGCTAAATGTGACGTCCCGCGTCCTCGGCCGCCGTGTCCGGCGGGGCCGGCGGGGCCTCAACTCAATGCAGCCGGCGAAAGTTGTTTTTGTTCGCTGTCGTCCGCGGGCCTCGCGCCATTGTGCTCATGTCCAGAATGGAGCCAGCCAGCAGCCGGCCGATGAAGTCCTCGACCGGTCAACGGGCCGCGCGGCGAACGGCGCGCATCGGTCGCCGTTAGGTCAGATGCAGGCATTGGGTCGCGTTGGGTGAATCCGTGGAGCGGTTACTGTTTTGCTGAGGTGTGTGGCGTGGCGACCGTGTAGTGTGGCAGCGGCGGCCGTGGTCGACGCGGCGGGTATCTGGAAGAAGCCTGGCGATTAGAGGGCCTTGGCCCTGACGGCCTGGCAGCGCTGGCAGCTCCGGCCCCGCACCGCTCCCTCGAGCAGCGCGTGACTTCCAGATCCGGTGGTCCCATTGGCTTGCCGCTTCCGAGCGCGACGATTAAATGGCCATGCTCTGAATTTGTTGTTTGTTGTTGCAGCCTCGCCGGCGCAGCGGGCTCGTCGGGCTTCTGGAGCCGGCGCCTGGAGGAGGCGGACGCCGGGGCCGCCGGGGCCGCGCCCTCCGCGGACGGCCTCGACGCCATGTCGCCGCACCCCAAGGGCCACCACCACAGCCCCGGACCCGGGCCCGGGCCGCCCTACAGCGGCTCGTACCGCAAGTTCGTGAACCACCTCGTGCGGTCCAACTTCTCGGACAGCCTGGACGATGACTCCACGTTCGTCGGCGTGGACAAGCCCCCCGTCTCGGAGATGGACGGGGAGGTGTCGCCTCCCAGACCACCACCCAGGGCACCGCGCGCCGCCCCGCGGCTCAGCAGGCCGCCCAGCCTGGCCAGCTTCTCGACGCTCCACGAGGACGCCGACGAAGGGCGGCTGCAGGGCACGGCGCATCCGACGACGCTTCCACCCACTCCCGAGCGGCCGCCCCGCCTCGCGCCGCGCCGGCCCGCACTCCCCGCCCCACCCCCCGGGCCGCCGCCGCGGCCGCCGCGCGCCCCGCCCCGCCAGTCGGGCGGCGCGCGAGGAGCACGCCACCGCACCGCCGGCACCGCCAACGCCAGCGCACCGTCCGCCGCGGGGCTGTTGCACCCAGCCGTCGAGGCAGCCGTCGAGGCAGCCGTCGAGGCAGACGCGGGGCGGTGCGGCCCAACTGCCTGCAGCCCGTCGGCCTGCACCGCGGCCAGCTCCAGCACGCCGGCCGGCGAGGAGGATGACGCCGGCAGTCGACGAACGTCAGCGAGCAGCAGCGGCTCGAGCGGTTCGGAACGACGGCGACGCGTGGGCGTCGTGACACCCGCCGTCATGCTGGACGAGAAGATCGAGATGCCCGCCACGCTGGCGCCGCCTTGGCCGACGGCCGCCAAGCCGCGAGTCGCCGTCGGCAGCACCGTGTCGGACGAGGGCTGTTCGCCGCGCTGCTCGCCGTCAAGCAGCCCCAGCCCCAGCAGCGAGGAGGAGGCGTGGCGCTGGCCCGGGGCGGACGTCAAGGACCCCAAGGAGGACCTCGGAGACACCAGGGCGCGGTGCTGCAGCTCCGACTCGGCCATCGCGCTGCACGACGAGGACGCCGCACCGACGTGGCCCCACGACACGCACGGCACCGACTCGGACCTGCAGCGCGACGTCGACGACGCGGAGGACGTGGACGACGACATCCCCGCCGGCAGCGACGCGTCCTACCAGGGCGACAAGCAGCAGCGGGTCGCGGTGCCCATTGCCTCACCGGCGGCCGGCGACGAAGGCGTGTTCGACGACCCGTGGCGCTCGGCGCACCCCTCGCTGGCGGAACTGAAAGGCCTCAGCCTGGACGACGTGCGGTGGTCGCGCTTCACAGAGCTCCAGGATGGCACCGTGGACGAGGACGCCGAGGTGGAGGCGCTGGTGGCGGACGGTTGCGACGAGCGCGGCCGCCGCGTCAAAGTGTTCTCGTTCGACTCGTACGACTCGGGGGTGTCCGTGTCCGCGCTACGGAGGGCGTCGACGCAGAGCGCGGGCGCGGCCGAGGACGACGCGCACCCGCCGTACCGCTACTGGCGCACCCCGTCCGTCGTCGTGAGCGACTACTCCGACGACCTGTCTTCCTTCCCGGGCTCCGCCGTCACCCTGGAGGAGATCGAGCTCTTCCGGTCGCAGTACGCGGCGCGCATCGCGGCCGGCGACGCGACGGACTTGTCGTCCACGGACGTGTCGCGGACGTCGTCCTGCGCCAACCTGCAGCAGCTGGACGCGGACTACGCGCTGCGCTGCTGGGGCTCCAGGAAGTCGTCGTACTGCTCCACGTGCTCGACGCTCAGCGGGGACGAGGACGCCGCCAACTGCGACAACCAGCTGGAGGCGGTGCGCACCAGAACCAAGGTAAGGGCGAGCACGCGGCCGCGCCACCATAAACCGCAGGCAAACACCGGGTGTCAAAAGCACGTGCTCACACACACTCACTCGGGAGGGACGATGGTCGGACGGAGTGAGACGATAGTCAAGGTCACTGGGTTCAGATAGCCGCGCTTTGACGCACCTGGCACCAGGCAGCCCACCGGCCGGCCGGCCGCAGGGTTCGAATGACCCATACCGGAAACCGGCGCGCCAAATACAATCTGGGCTTCGGCGCGAGGCGCGAGGCGGCCAGCGACGGCGTCGTCAGCCTCCGCGTCGTTTGGCGGCGGTCGCCGCGTTTGGTCTTTTCGATGGTGTTGTGGTTCTGGCGCCGCCGCCGCCGCTTTTCTAGCAGGCTGGTGAGAATGAGGGTAACCTCGGCGTTCGTGGTACGTCACGCCACCGCAGGAGTGCGCCGTGCCCGGCCGTGCCGTTCGCCTCGCCGCGGTGCCGCGGTAGACCGCCCACCGCCAAGGGCCGCCGCGCCGCACTGCGACGTGACGCGGTCACTTGCGTCATTTGGAGGCTTTTAAGAACCGCGGCACCGCGGCACCGCCACTCGTAAAGCCAGTGGCGTTGCGATGGGCGCCCCGCCTAGCCAGCCTTGTCCTGCGCGGACACACAGGACGCGAGTCCCTTCGGGGTTGACGACGACCTGGTCTGGCTGGGCACTCCGCACGCGTGGCCTGACTGGAGGATGCTGCGCGGCGAAAAAAGAGAAAGTCCCCGGATGGACGGCAGTGCAGTGACAATGGCACGGCCGGGCCGGCGGATGCACCACGCGGTCTGGCCGCCCTGCCGCCCCGCCCCGCCCCGCCAGCTTATCGAGGCTCCCGATCGGGCCGAGGGAAGTGCCGTCTAGACAGACTCCGATCGCGCCTTCCGCCCAGATCTGCCCATTGTCAAGGAGTGCGAAGTAGGGGCTTTCCGCCGCGCCCCGCCCGCCGGCAGCGCGCTGTCGCTGTCGCACTCACAGGGCGTCGCGCGGGGGTGAGAGAGACAGAGCGACGACAGCGCGGCTCGGAGTCGGTCTGTGACTCACGCGAGACACCTGCGCCGCTCCCGACGCGCCCCCCTCGCTGATAACGTCGACGCCCCGAAATTGCCAATTTCTGATTTATCTTGATTGGACGCCTCCGTCACCTTCGTGCCGCGCTGCGTGGCAGGAACGCGTCTCGCTCCGTGTCGGGAGCGAATTAGTACTTTTGCCCTCTTATAGGGGCCTACCTTTCGGGCGGCTGCCTAGGGGTTAAGGGAAGGGTAATTGTACCCCCCCCCCCCTTCTCTCTCTGGATCCGCGCTTGGTCTCGTTTTCTGGGGAAAGGAAGGGAAGGACGTCGTGAGACCGCCACGCCTGGCCGAGATCTCTGAAAGCAAAAACGGGCAACGAACGACAGCGCGTTATGGTTAGCGGTGTCCTTGTCGCTCTCGCTGCCGGCCTGCCGGCATGCTGCCAGCCGAAGTCGCGGAGTCGCGGCGACACGGAATGTCGAGTCACTGTGACGACGACAAACCGATGGCAGGCTAATGACGAGGCTGCAGCAGACTGATTCCGAGAGTCGTTTTCGTCGCTCCGTCGGACGTTCTCTGTAAGAGCGACAGAGCGACGAAACCGACTCTCGGAATCAGTCTGCAGCGTGGCGGCGGGCGCGTTCACCGAACTGTCGGATTATCGCGCTTCCCGTCCCGTGTGGTGCGCCGTGCGCCTCGCAACTCGCTCGCGGCCTCCAGCGCCGCGGCGCCGCGCCTTGGGCTGCCTGCCCGCCCGGCGCGGTAGGCGCGGTAGGCGCGGTACCCGTGCATGCCGTCCGAAGGGGTGCCTACCTGCGGGCGCAGGACCTTACCGACTTGCCGGTGGGAGCGGCGCTCGCGGCACACCGCTTGGAGGCTGAGTCCAAAAGTCGATCCCACGGAAGCAGGAGGTGCTGAGGATATTTTCAATAGGCATGTTGGTTGCTGACGCCCCTGAAGACACTCTCGACTACGAGCCTGTTTGTGGCCACAGCGAGGTATGGATAGAAAATGGACTAAGGACTCAATGAGCGCCGCTACTGGTGGTGTTGATGCTGCCTTTGGGGGCATTTCTTCCACCCAAGAGCATTTCTCATCCATTTTCTGTATTCATGCTTCAATCTTCTTAAGATCGGGCCCACTACTTTGTGGCCACAAACAGGGACGTCACTCGGCTGGACGTTGCTCGCCGCCGGGCGGAGGCCGCTGGGTCCACGTCCACGGGCCGTCGCCGATCGCGTCCGCCAATGATGCACTTCGCTGCTTTGCCGCCTCGTTGGCGACGTTGGCGACGTTGCCGGTCGCCCCGAGGACCACCGCCCGCCCCGCGGCCACCGCGCGTCGCATTGATGGAGATTGACGACGACGGGCCCAGGACGACGGCGACGTCGTGGGAGGAGCAGCGGGACCGGCCACGCCACTGAAAGGGCCGAAAGAACCCCCCACCCTCGGCTCTCGGTGCGCAGCGGAAGTGCGCGGCGTGGTGCAGGATGCTGGATCCGGCGGTTGCAACGCGATTCGGGGCCCTGAAGGCCTAGGAGGCAGTGTGGTGGAAGCTGTTGGAAGAAAATAAACTCAAGTTAAATAAAGCAATGCTGTTGCGGCTTCCGCCATGCAGAGTCGCGCTCGCAGCGCGCGCCAGAGGCGCGGCCACCCGCCGCGGGCAACGCGGTGTGGCTCGACGCTGGGCTCCGCGCTCCGCGCTCCGCGCTTCGGCAAGCCGAGTTGGCTTCCACCTTGGCTCGGCTCCACCGCGGCCACCGCGACGACGCCTTAACTCGTGGGAAGGTCAGCCCGCTGATTGTGGCGGTCCTCTGACGTCGCCGCGCCGCCAGCACCGCCAGCACCGCCAGCACCGCCAGGACGGCGAGGTGGGCGACCTCTGCGGTGCAGTTCGGGTTCGCGTTCGCGCCTCCTCGAAGGTGGCCACGTCGCGGACGCGGGGGAAGGGGGGGGGGCGTGCGGCGTAGTATAGCCGCGGCGGTGGTCGTGTTTGGGTCCTGCTCAAATTGCAGAGGCCGAGCCAAGCCGAGCCGTGCTGAACCCGCACCTTCATCTTCATCACAATGCGCCACCAAATGACGCGCGGAGTATTTCTGACCGGCGTGCTGGATCAGCTGCTGTGTCCGTCCGTGCGCGTGCGTGCTCGCGAGCGTCATACTGCTGCTGACCCAGCGCCTGCACGCCCCGCAGGCCTCGACGAACGCGTTGCGAAGTCAGTGGCACGCTGCACGCTCCACCCGAAACAGACCATTTCGCAGAATGCTGCTGATGGGCATTGTTGACAAAAGCTTACAGCGACTTGCTGTGCTTTCACGCCGCACTGCGAGAAGAAGGCTTAGTTGTTTTCTGTTTTTCGTCGCTGTCGCGGCAGGGTTCTTCTGGTACTGCCTCCCTCCTGCAGCAGGCGATTCGCGGAAACACGAACCTAATAACTTTTTATTTTTGTTTGATGCCGGGGCTCGCCCTTATTGTTGCTGTTGTTTGGGGCGTGGCGGGGCGTGGCGTCGCATAGCCGCGGGGCCTGAATCGCATCGTGTGGGCCCCGGGCCTGCCCCGGGTGGGACGCGGGCGCGCGGGGGGAAGCGGGGCGGGGCCCGCTGTGCCACTAGGGGACTAACAATGCGATAGGTGGCATGGCTTGGCGTCGCGCTCCGTGGCTCTGACGTCAGCCGAGGGCCCTGGGCCGGGCCGCGGGCTGGGCCCCTAGAGAGAGGCTGCTGGCTGGGCCCGGCTGGGCCCCTGGGCCGCGATAAGAAGGCAGGACACGAGTCGGGAAGGACACGATAAAAACCAGGAACGAGGACGCAGCCACGGCCGGTCCAGAATAGGGTTCCTGTTGTCGCTGCTCTTGTTGTTTTGCACATCTGTGTCGCAAAATGAAGGACAATTTCCACGTCAGTTCGTTCTAAGGACATGTGTCCTCGCGTGCAGGTCGGACTGTGCGGGACGCGTTTGAAAAGTTCCAGGACAAGAGGGTTGTCATCGAATTCCTTGCGAAGCGAGCGCCTGCGATGTTGAGGGTAGGCCAGCCCGCCGTGCCCCAAGGTGTTACGGGACTGCCTACCCGCCGAAGCGCCTGCGATGTTGAGAGTGGGCCAGCCCGCCGTGCGCCAAGGTGTTACGGGACTGCCTACCCGCCGAAGCGCCTGCGATGTTGAGAGTAGGCCAGCCCGCCGTGCCCCAAGGTGTTACGGGACTGCCTACCCGCCGAAGCGCCTGCGATGTTGAGGGTAGGCCAGCCCGCCGTGCGCCAAGGTGTTACGGGACTGCCTACCCGCCGAAGCGCCTGCGATGTTGAGAGTACTCTGCAAACTGAAATGTGTGCATGGCACGCTCTATTTGGAGCATGCCATGAAGCACGCTTTAATTTGGAGCGTGCTTGGCAGGCACGCTTTAAATTAGAGTGTGCTTACCAGGCACGCTCTAAACTAAAGCGTGCCTGCCAGGCACGCTCTATTTTAAAGCGTGCTTAGCAAGCTCACTCCAAACTACAGCGAGGGCGGCAACCACAATCCTGAATGCTCGTAATGGCTTTAACTTTTTAATATTTACTAAATATGTACTAATGCAAGGTTTCCATTTTATACTTTAAAGAAGCAAGCATTTCAAGTCTAGTGCTCAGATGTATTTTACGTCAACAAAGCTTCTCCGCTATTTTTACAACTATTGATGTATAAAATGGCACCGGTGCGTGTTAGACCTGGGAGGTTTCTTAACCATGGACGAATCAATTAAAACATTTCTCATCCAGAAAGACACATACAGTGTATGTTCGACATGACACTAGTTACTCACTCTTTTGACTGCCCAACAATCCATAGCAAAGTCACCTAGCCCTGTTGCTGGGTGGTGAAGGTTGAGGCTGCAGTCACTCGGAAGGAAGACATACTCGGGGTAAACGAGCTCCATACGTTTATCTAGCCCTTCCAGTCTCATTGTTTTCAATAACTGCGTGCCATAACACAACGCCA